CCCGCCTCTGCCCGCGGCTCCCTGCTTCGTGCGGGTCTCGAAACCTGCGGGAAAAGCCTCATGCCCGAGGAAAAAAAAAGGCAGAAAACGTTTTTAAGTGATGCAGCTTTTTGTAAATTACCTCTTTTAAAGACTCTGAAACGCCGGCAACTGCTGCAGTTACTACTGTCTGCTCTGTTGCCTGTGGTCATTATGGCTCAGAGTCTTCTTACATAAGATGATGAGCGGTTTTGTGGAGCGTGTACTTAAAATACTTAAAGCATCCATCAAGGCAATACTACTGCTTCATCTTCTGCTTAGTTTGAGGGAAGTTGCGTGCTGCGTATCGTGTTTTTCAGTTCAGCTATTCAGAGTTACTTCCTGCCAGAAGATCTGATCTAGACTCAGTATCTTAGCTTGTATTTATTCGTGCATTAAGAAGCCTTCCTATCTGGTTCCTGTTGAACAGAAGCTGTAATTCAGTATGTTTTTCTATATGAGGACCGTGTAACTATGTTCATCTTCAGGTGCAGGAGACTTGCTTGAAACACTTACTTTAAAATAAAACGGTAGAACAGTATTGTCTTGAAACCTTCTATCTGTGTTGTTAACTGTTCCGTGTTCTGATATGTAAATTTGAGGTGTATGTTTTTGATTTCTCTTTATGCACGCTTGTATCCAGCAACATAACTTGGTTGACTTCATTGTGTAGATGAAGTGGGTAATTGAAACTAAGACAAATTAGATGGTTTACCAGGAAGATCTGTTTATGTGCTCACAGAAGGAAGCAAATACAAGAAATGTACCAATGCTACAAAATAATGTTACTGTATCCTGCATGTTCTCTAGGAAAGCTGTCTTGTCAAATTAGTTAGAATGTCAAGATTTAAGAACCACTGACCGGTATTCTTTGAGTTATTTTAAAGACTGCTCTACATAGTTGCATAATGATTTTGGAAGTACTTTAAATGAAATATTTTCTTTTAGTTAGCATGAGAGTCAGTCTGAGTCCTCAGCTACCTCCTCTTTATATTTAAGATGGTGTAAGTGCTACATGTTTTATACAATCTCATTATTCTGATTAAAAGTTTACTGTCACAGATTTGAATGGAAATAAGTTATGCAGTTCTGTTAAATGTGGCTGTTACAGAATGCATGTGCAAACAAACGTTTAAGTACACGTACATTCAGGAAGGATTACATTTTAGGAACATAGATACTGGCCATTTCCTCTGTCCATGGTTTCCCAGAGTCTAAGGTGGAGGCTTGTCCTGTGACCATTAAGATGCTGAAAGATTTGAACTGCTTTCTAATAGTTTAATAGGACTTAATTCTAACATGGGAGTCCTTTGTAGTTGCTCTGAGGACTTATTCTTGAAAGCGTACCTCGCGTAGCCTACTTTCAGTGCACATCTTGGTGTAAATGGGTGATGTAGGAATTTGGGAGCTTAAGTGATAGACAACTTACTGTGATCAGAAAAAAAATGCAGATACTAACTACTCTAGTAACACTAACACATAATCTAAACAAGGTGCAAAAAAATGCCTCCCTTGCTTCCCAAAAGGTGGTGTACTTTTATTATGTTTAGGTTAGTATAGGTCTTTACTGTTTCCAAATTGAAGCCTAGCTTAGAGATTCCACTGTCTGAACTTGTTCTGTCTTCTTCAATGTCTAGTGTTACCAGATGTGGCAGAAGATACAGTCTCACCAACTAGAGCTCGGACCATGAAGGACTATGAAAATGTAAGCAGACTTTTAATATAAGACTCGGTGACAGATTTATGGCCAAGATATTTCTAACATGCTGGCTAAAGTGTTGACTCTCTTCTTAGTTTGTGTCAGTCAACACAGATCTGTTGGAGGTGTGACCAGCAGGCTATCTGTGCTTTGAACCTCCATTTCTTAAGTACTGCTTTGAAAAACAGAGGCAAAAATTTGTTGTTGAGACTAGCCAACTGCTGCTCTTAAATTGCGAAACAAAAATTGGCAGACTCTGCTCAGAAATTCATGCAATCACCAGAAACATAAGAACTTGGTTTGCAAGTCTGCAACTGATGTATTTCAAGGAAGCATCAAGTTTATTTTTGTTTAGACTAGTATAGGATTTGGCTTTTTAATTCATTGACTGCTGTGTAATACCTTTTACCTTTATATTCAGGTACGAGTGTGCTTGGAATACTTTTTTTGTAAAGGTCTAGTATCATTGTGACAGTTCCGTAGATAAAACTAGTTTTGGCACTTACTAGAATATTAAGGAAAACAATAGATTTTTTAATATATTAATTGTGTTGGTTATTGAAATTGAATAAGCCAATTGTTTATAATTGCTGAATGATGATTTGGTTGGGATATAGCTGTGTTGCAGGACAACTCCCCTGTAAAAAGTTTTAAATTGTTTAACTCAAGTTCTTATGATTGTGTGAAGAAACTGTAGAGGGGAAAGCAATCAAAAATCTCTGAGATGGCTGCTACAGATAAAGGCTGTTGCTTGCTATCTTTAGGATGGGTTCAAGTGTCTGCAGTTTTTAGTGTGCTTCTGTAACTGCTGATACCTTTTGTAGCATTGTTATGTTTGAAATGCTTGTTTCTTCTAAACTTTTTCAGTTTCTTGTGGCCTTATATCCCTCTGAGGAGAAAGCTATGCTCTTTGCTCAGAATTTAAAGCTTGTTTTGGAAGGCCTTGGTGAAGGAAGTTTTTTACAGTCTGTATCTATTTCACTTTCTCTTTTGGTTTTGTGTATTGGCTGGGGTAGAAAGACACTGCTTTGGCATTTGTATGTGCTTAAAACCTTTTACTGTGATATGTGCCAAAGACCTCAGTCTAGAATATACATTCTGCCAGTGGTTTATTATCTGCAGTGTTTGTCTGCACAGGGGAAAAAGCTGTAGAAGGGAGGAAGAATCTGTTGTTGTTTGTTCTGTGTGATGTAGAGGAGAAAGGGTCTCCCCACAGACCTCTGGCTTCCTGGTGTGTACAGACCCTTTATGTTAAACTGAGCTGTAAAACTTCTCATAGGCTTTTATGGATGCCAACAGTATAATGAAGCTCAAAAATCCATTCAAGTAAAGGAAGACTAGATTAAACACAATTAAACACAGGTATTTCTATAACTTCTGTTTTTGAGTCTTTAAGATTGCTGGTAGCTGGAAGGCTAAACTTGAGAAAGGGAGCATTTACTTTCTTTGTCCTTTTACTATTTACCAAGCACCCAGTAGTATCTGCATTTAGATGCACTTTTGGACTGACATCATAAGGCTGTTCTTATCCCACTTTCAAACAAATCTGAATTAGTGGGTGAAGTTCCTGGTATCTCCTGTTTGGAGTGTATATATATGGAGAGTGCGTGTGTGTGTATATATATATATGTAACTGCATGACTTAGCTGATCTTTGAGGCTATGTTATTTATACAGGATACGAGAAGGAAAAGAATGGACTCCTTGCCTTGCAGCTCAGAGATAACAGGGTGGATGTAATGACCCTTGAATGGGCTAAAGGGTGGATCCATGTAGAAAGGGTCCTCTTATGTTTAGACCTGGAGAAGATGCTGTGCTAGATAATATTGGAGGTGTAGATTTTTTTAGTATTTATGGTGTGTCCCACTTTCTTGCAATATGGGGGGTGACCACCTTGTGATAGAAAATGGGATTACATGGGCAAAGTGAACGGCACCTTTAATTGAGGACCTCATGGTTTATTAGACATTCATGAATAGAAAGGATGATTACTATCAAGTTAGGGAACTAAGTAATAATATTTGTGCGTTTTTTCTTGTCTCCCCAAACTCACTTAGTGTTTTGCTGTCTTGTAAAATGGCCTCTACTGGCAAAAAACTGTGTTGCACTGTGAAACCACAGCTGCTGTTGACAGATACCATTTTGCATAAAAGTGGCTCTATGCAGACTTGGAAAGGAGCTAAACCGAGCTAGGCAAGTGGCATTTGCTACCATGCTGTCTGTGGTATGGAATATTGTCTGTAGAGTGTATTGCCTTGTCCTGTTTTTTCAAGAAGTGTCTGCTATTTCTCTTCTTTCATTCCTTTTTTAAATACAGGAATCAAAATGTATAAAGGAATTAAGACTGAGTCTTTAAATGCATAAGTCGAGAGGAATGCCATTAAAATCCCTTTTCCAGTGTGAACTTGTTCACATTTTACACGATGTCTTTTATTAAGCTATAACTTTTTAATTGCAGTCTGCCTGAATTAACTCTTCCTCTGAGAAACTGAATGTCAGAAACAACATTTGTTTCACTACTTGGTTTATGATTGCGTTGTCTGTTTTGTTTGCCTTTTGAAAATAGTACCCTTAAGCTCTTCGGTTTAATTCTATTGCCACTGAAATACATGTGAGTAGAATTAAGGAATGCAGGGTTCCTTTGAAATTGCTTTTTTCCTTTTGACTCAGAAATGTATTGAATATGTGAAGACTAGCTAGAATAAGTTCAGCTGATGCATTTTCAGAGCGCCTTTGGTACTTGGACTTTTTCTGAATGAACAGAGACAGTTAGGAATTGTCTACTGACAGCTTAACACCCCCCCAGCCAACAAAATGAACCAAACGCTTCTCACTAGTTGAATGTAGTGCCGAACTTCCCAGCAAGACATGCAGAACTGGGCTAGATCTTGCAGCCTTGCTTCATTTAAGAAATCTTTAATTTCTTCGCTTCCTCTGAGTAAGGATTTCAGTTTTGAGCAATATTTGTATTGGACTCTGTGACTTGAAGTACAAAGTTGCATTGTTTTCATGCTTACATCTATTTGAATGTTCCAAAATAGTCATTGCATTTACTGAAGGTACTCCATGATGCTCATGAGGTATCATGCTTTAAACAGTTAAAACTTGCATAGTTCAAGTTTATATCCGCTACTGTTTGTAGTCATCCAATTGGAATTGTAGGGAAACAAAGATAAATATATGTATTGCTATTGCTTCTAAAGACAGGCTTCTTCAGGATGTGTGAATGGGCCACAGAGTTTGTGTAGTGAAGTGTATTTTCAGTTGCTTGGATGACATTTACTTGTGTGAATAATGACGAAGCATCTTCCTGGGCAAAGATTATTAAACTGAAGAATTGTTTGCAGATGCAGGTTCTGAGTGCAGTTATAGAAAATAATCTTAGGTTTCACAAGCCAAATATTTTAAGAATTGCATTGCTAATAACTTTTACAAGTGGTACTATACTGTTCTGGAAAAGCCTACATAAAAATTTTATTAGTAGCTCTGTAACGTATTAGATTTCCTCTTGCTGAAAGCATCTGGCAGGGGACACAAGTCTTATTTGAATGAATGTTTTATGCTTAGTCTCTTAAAAAAATTTAGAAGGAGACTCTTTTCTTTAATGAAACCATCAACTATGTTACTGCTTCTAGGAAGGTTAAAAATCATAAGCAATTTTTTCAAAGAATTGCACTATGAAATATGGGATGGGATAAAGGTTTTATTGGTGTTTGATTGGGCTGACATGCATTGTGTGCTTGTGGCTTTTCTTCCCATGAATAAGGCTACCATCCCAAGCTTTTGCCAAGAAAATACTTCTGTTTCAACGTGACCTCCTATGTTTTGTTCAAATTCTATTTTATAGAAGAAAGAACTACTTAATATTTTTAGATTTAAAAAACTCTCTTGGATTCTTTTTGTGTAAAGTCAGACAATGTTTCAGTGCTTCAAGAAGGAATATTCTAAAGAGCACTGTCTGCATAACAGCATGTATTATAAATTTTTAAACAATACCATTTTATAATTGTTATTTGCTTAAGTGCTAGTGTCTCAGAGTTTTGCAGGGCTAAAAATAAACACAAGCTAAATGATAAGATCTTACACAAACACACAAAGTTTATGTGTGTGCTAGTATGCCTAGATATCTTAAACAAAAGAAAACCAAAAAACAAACCCCAAAATACCTAGAAGGGGTGGGCTGGAGTGGGATTTCTTCTTGTTAGGGTGAGGAATGGAGATGGGGAAAAAAACATTATGGCTGGGATGGGATTGGTGGGAGAAAAATATGTTCTGTGCTACGTGCTGAAGCTGGAGAAGATGGAAACCTGTTGAAGGGCTTGGAGTATTTGCAGCTCCCTGGGTGACACTATCTTGGAGGGAAGGATGTTTCATTTTGACTTGGGTATCATATGTTGTTATTAACACCTTTACAATTTGAATATATATGTATGTGTGTATATCACCCACACATATGTACATGCTTAATGATGTCCAGTGGGTTGAATTCTAATCTTGTGCTGTAGAGAGCAAAACCAAATGATCGTAGTTTTCACTCCTTATTTTACTTGTTTTGAAACACATTACATAATTTGCTCATTTTCCTTATTTCACAGCAAATCACTGATCTGAAAAAAGAAAACTTCAACCTGAAGCTTCGTATATACTTTCTGGAGGAACGAATGCAGCAGAAGTTTGATGGTCCCACTGAAGAAATATACAAATTTGTATGTATTTAGAATAATTTAATAGAATTATATATCTTTTTGAAGAGTTTGTTTTGTGGGGAAGTTACCTGTTTTACTCAACTTTTGAGTCTTTTTTTATTGTTGGAAACTTTGGTATGATTATATTATTCTGGCCTAATCCTTTTCAGTAATAACTGAATTAAAATGACCTTTATAAGGTGTGGGAAAAATTGGTTTCAAATGCATGAGTGTCCATAGTTACGGGACAGGATAAGAGATGTTGTGTTTCCAGTAAGTGGTTATGAATCTTCAGTAGTGTGGTACTTGAAATCATGTACTGAATGGGGAGTAGAAGCAGCAGCACGCTTCCCCTGAATGTGGTATGTAGTTACTCTGCTTTCTACTATTGAGCAGTTCAGTTCACCCCTCTGTTTTTTCCTGGGTTTATCAGTTGTCAGTATAGCTTATTGGAGGTTGTTTGGGCACTCCAGCTCAAAGTTGCTTCCTTTGAAGCTTGTAGATAAAGCTGTATTAGGGTTGTGTATAGCTTCTAGTTTTATTGCTCTAAATTGAAAGAATGTGTATTTGTACAGGATTCAGGAAATCTCTTTGATTCCTATGTCAGTTTGTAGAAAAAAAAAAAAGTGGTATCTTTTTAAGTTGGAAGAAGGATTTGAGTGGTATATTTTGCATCCTGGTTACTTCAGGTTTACAAATGATAGGAAGCATTTCTTATGCCCTTTGGTAGTGCCTGCATCCTAGAAAGGAAAAGAAGTCATTTTGTTAACGCAGTAGCATGTTATAACAGATCTTTGCATTAGGTCTCTCTTCTGTAACAGGATACAAGCTTAAGTCTCTCTTGATGCTTGTTGCAGTAGTTACGTACATTGAAGTTTAGCTAGGTCATGGTTTCAACTGAATATGGGTGATTGGTCTTCTGTCCTGGTCTTCTACACTGCTGTCTGTCTTGTAATTGCTAATATATTGAAATGGTACCTGTCAACTTGCACGCCAAGTAGTTCTTTGTACAATGTGTGCTTATGTCATGAGTAGTTTTCTCAGGCTATAACAAAGTAATTTTAAGATTATTAAAAACCTGGATACAATCAGGTTTTTAAAAGAAAATGAAAAGAAAATATCTCATGGCTCAAAGAAAAAACACACATGGAAGCCCTAGAAACTCCCAAGTTGATCTGCACTACTCCCCATTATAGTAGTTAAGTGTGTGTGTGTGGGGGTTTGCCTTGCTTGAATACAATGGTCCTAAATGTTTTTTGAGATTTCTGCAAGTGTTGAACCTTGCAAAATATGTCCTTTAAAAGCTAAAATGTCTCTATGCTATTCTTAACCCAATGATACTTTTTGCTTGGACCAGCAAATACAAAGTAATCTACACGTTGCCAGTAACTTTTGCATAGGGTGACTTCTGAATTCTGTCCAGACACTTTCCTTCTTTTGTCCTAGAACATTGAGCTGAAAGTTGAGATAGAAAGCTTGAAGCGTGATCTGCAGGAGAGAGAGAAACTGCTCATCAAAGCCTCGTAAGTAGCAATATGTTCTCCGTGTTTGTTCCTTAGGGTTTCCGAGATCTTGCTTCTGTTTGTTTTTTCCTGATGTTTTAGGAGTATGAGGATCCCAAAGTAGTATTTTAAGGGCCCTTGTATAGAAATTGCTTCATTCATTACAGAAATTGCATTTGTTAATTCTTAAATGAACAATGATGTTAATGTAGTTATACTGGATGGCATGGCTTTGATATTATCCTTCATTCTACTGTATTTTTCAGGTAAATAAATGACCCCCTAGTTGGGAATGGCTTAGCGTTCCTGTTGTAGAAGTTAAGCTAAGAGCTTAATTATCTGAACAGGTGAATAGCACTGGATTGGGAAGACGGAACACAAAAAACTTCTCAGTAAGGCTGAGAGAGCAGTTCAGAACTAATCTAGAATGAATCTTATGGGTTTTAATGTTATAAAAATAAATGCACTTAAAATTCCTGCTTTTCTGTTAAAACCTTTTCTAAATAAATATTACTTATTTAAAAACTACATAGTACTACGTTGTCTTATGGTGTGGGCAAGGTGGAATATGCTCTAGGGAGGATATATCTAGGATGATTGCAAGGCTGACAATAGCCTATTAAATTGCTTCCTTGTAGATGTCTGGTTCAAAACTAATCCAAGCTGGCAATGACTAACAGCTACTGGCTGCTACATGGGCCTCAGTTTCAGTGGAATTTTTTTTTGTGTGGCCTGCCTCATGTGGCATTGAATTGTTACCAGTTAGCCTTTTTTCAGTCAGAGAGGTCTAGTTTCAAGTAGATCCTGAGGACCAGATTAATTTTTGTTTGGTTTCTCCAGGTAGCTGTCAAAACGTATTGCTGGGCTTTGAATGGAACCTTGCACATGTTCAAGGTTCATAATAGGAAGTAAAATTTAGGGGGAAATCGTAAACAAGTGGTCATCCTTTGTTTGGTAAGGAAACAGTAGCTATTCTTTTCTTACAAGTTATTGAAGTGACAAGCAGGTACAGATAAAGTGGAAGACATTTGCTTGTGCATAGTCTATCGGCCACTTGCACTTAAATGTTTTCCACTTCGATACACAATGGGATTTCTATCTATATTATGGTCTTTCAGTAAGGCAGTTGAAAGCTTGGCCCAGGGTGGTGATGCCGAAATACAGCGTGTGAAAGAAGAGGCTCAAAAGAAGATGAAAGAAATGGAAGAAATCCTGACTAGCAGAATAAACTTTCTGGAAGAGGTGAGTGGCCGAAACTGAAGGAATAGGTAGAAATCAGTACTGTCTTTGTCCTATCTTCTGAGATTTGATACTGTGATCTACCTGTATTTTCAAAATTGTTTCAGCTTTGCTGGAAAAATAGCCAGCACAAAACCAGACCAAAAAAGAAAAGAGGGGGGAAACAAACACAATGAAAGGGAAGGTGTTTTTTAGCTGCTCTTGAGCTGTCAAATATGAGGATAGCAGTTCTTCAGGAAATTCGTACCTATTGGTGGTACTTAGGTACATTCAGCACAAACCTTCAATTCCTGAATTCCAGTGTGAGGAGGTTACATTTTCACAACTGCAGTCTCTGTTTAGAGGAAGAAGGGCTGGATTTTGAACACTTCTACTGATAAGGTCTCAGCTTCATAAATAGCTGAAACCACTCTGTAAGCACTCCTGTCATTTCCCATCTTTATAGGGGACCTCAGTATTGCAATATAGAAAACCACAGAATCTCAGATTTATATCTCCACTCTTGTGTGTTCATTATAGGCTGAGAGAGGCCACCTACTTATGGAAGCTTCTGGGTAGGTGAACCAGCGGGCGCTTCCCTGTGTTGTGCCTGCATGCCTTACATGCTGTTGTTAGATTGACCATTACCTGCCAAATGCTACTGGCTTCTGCTGTCACTATATTACCTTTTTGCATAACATTTTCTTGTTCCACAGGGGTTATTCTTAACAATGTCTTTTTTCTTTTAATTCCTTGTTGTCTGTGGTTGAGACGGTTTATTCCTGTATTTATTGTCGAGCCATTGCTGGTATCTTTACAAGAGAATTGCTTCACATTTTCCTCCTTTTGTAGTGTAAAGGCAAAAAAAAAAAAAAAATTCTCTGTATGAATAGCACACTTCCTCAGAAGCAAGGAGAAGTTCAGTTTCTTGTAAAGAGCAAATGTGATATTGAATGGTCTGTGCTGGAAATGTTTGTGTCGAGTTCTAGAAATACATAAGCTCATGATTGTTTTGCATCATTGACTGTATACACTTATCTATAGGTATGGGATTTTGTAGCTGTGTTTGTGAGGGGGATAGGCATCTGGTGCTCTTTCTGTGAGTAAATAGAAATAGCGCAAGTGGGTATATTCCAATATTTGCTTTCCTGTTCCTAAAGAATGAATTGGTCATGGAAGATATTGGTAGCAATCTCCTGATGGTATTTTCTATCAGGATGATTTAGCAGTATTCATAAAGCAGTGAGCTCCTTCAGGGAGGAGGAGGGTGGAATCTCTGTGACCTTTTTTCAGTTTAATGGAACTGGGATTTCTCAAAGCATTCTTTGTGCTATTGGATAGGTAGAGAAGTTCCTAAATTACTTATTCTGTACCAAAACAGCCAGTCAGACTGGTCTTTCCCAGATCTGACAGGCAAAAGGGCAAATATTCTAATCTCATAGTGATACAGTATATTCTGTAGGCTGAAGATAGTGTTGGCCCCTGACATTAATTTTATTATGCTTAGGAACATAAACACTGCAGAGTAGTTTTTGTCACTTGTTTACATAGCACCAGATAATTATATAGTTCCAGGTAATGCTAACAAAGATTAATTCCCTTCAGAGTTTTTGATTGAAAGATGAATGTTGGCAGAACAGTTTTTCAAGGGAGGGGGTGAGTGGTGAAGTCTAGTGGTGAAGGACGACTTCTTCATCCTCCCCAAAGAGATATGCTTTTAAGTATAGACTTAGAGAGAGGGGAATTACTTTTTAGGCTACAAGGAGGCTTTTATTTTGTAGAAAGCAAAATTCAGTGGGCACAGCAGGGAAGCTTACAATACAAAAATGAAGATCTGAAACAGATTTTAAGTAGTGTATGACAAGTGTAATTTTTCTGGTGTTCCCTGTCTCCATGAGTTGGGTCACTAGAGGAAGTTGACTTGAATCTCTGGGTGTTATCTCTGTTTCCATTGCTGCTTAAGAGAAAAATGTCTGGTTCATACTTTATCAATTCTTGCAAAATATTATACATTATGTTGGGAAGAGTTCCAATTAGCTACAATGAGCCTGTGAATATTAATTTCATCTCTGAATAAAAAAGCCCTTCTTTAACCTCTTTAATTTAAGTGTAACTATTTATTATGATAGTGGGAGGACAGTGGGACAAAGCCAAGTTATAATAGCTAAATCTAAAGCCATAGCATAGGGGCACTTTTGTTTCCAGTTCTGCTATCAGTTAGGGTATTTGTTTTATTTCTTTGAAACAATCTTCCCCCCTTTAAGTACCAAAGAAAATGGATTAATCTTGAAAATGCAGACACAAAGAGTTCAGAAGCATTTGCAAAGTGCTTGAACTGCTTGGTAAAAGTTGCTAAGTTAAACATACCAACATACGTTTGGTAGAAGAAACTTCAATATGTGAAAAATTTTGTGAGCATTTTGTTCTTATAGGCATCAGGATTGTGTGTTTTAATTACAGAATCTTAAAGCTGCCCAAGAAGATGTGGAAAAAGCTGCTGTAATGACAGAGAAGGAGAAAGCTTTGAGAATAGCTGCTGAGCAGAAACTTTCTTCAATTATGAATGCCTCTGCAAAGGATCTGGATATGATTACAGGAGCTGAGAAAGACAGGTCAGAACTCTTGCCAGTGATGTTTCTAACCACTGGAATTCTTTACTGTTTAAAGTGTGAAGAGTTGACATGGGTATAGGTTTTAATATTTTGATCCTACCCTCAGATACATGAGTGAGTGTTACTGGCCATCTTTCCTATTCAGCTATTAAATGAACCCAGCAAAGAATCAGTATGCATGTGACATGAGCATGTCCTGCTTTAAAGCATCTTTGTAACTTTGCTGACTTACCTCCTGCTTGCTGCTTTCTTGAAGCCATTGTTGAATAGAACTTGACTCTACCACTTGTGTTCGCTTACTGCTTTCATGGTGTCTATATAACTCTTCAATCCCAGTGATGTATCTGTTGAGGTTGGTAAATGTAATGGGAAGAGAAACAGTGTGTATTTGAGCTTCATGGTTTTGATTGTGCTTTGCAAAGCACTGGCTTTGCTTTGTTTAGGAGGTAGTTGGAAAGGTGTGTGAGTTGTGCAATAACTCTAGGTGGGGAAAATGTGTAAACTCAAATCTCAATACTTTGGAGGATTTTTTTTTTTTTAAGATGCATAGGGTAAAATACATGCCTGGCAAGCCTCCCACCAAACCTTAGATAGTTTGGGGATGTGATCCTGGAGTGGAGATCAAAAGATCATTACGATTCCTTATACTTTGGAGTATCCTTTCCTTTCTGTTTGTGACTGAACCCTGCAGGTAACTGCTCTGTGAGTAACTGTATAATTGGTCTACCCTGGTAACAGAAAGTTATGTTGGTCTGAGGCTTTAATTTCATAGGTTTTATATTTTGGTAGGACCAAAACAAGGTTTGCAGTGTTTTCCAGACAGTTTTTGTAAAAGCATACAGATTGAAAACTCCAATTCTGAAATCTACAGTGGCATAAAATTATGAAACTGTTCTAATAGGTTTTGATACTGCACCTTGTGTGCCACCACAGTAATTATATCCTGGCTTTCACATTATCTCCCTCCTTTCCCCTTTCCCTTTCTTGTCTTCCTCTTTCTATCTGTTAGTCACCTGCATGAACACAGTTGCTCTCCTGAGTGACTTGAGCTGGGAAGGAGTTATAAAACCAGTCCCATTCAGAGGTGCTTGAGTTGCCAGCTCTATAGCTTGTGTGAAAACAGTGCTTAAAGTGTGGAAACAAATTGTCAGGATTGGATCACTGAAGTGAAAGCTGTGTGGAGTATAACAAAGAACGTCTTTTCTTTCTTTCTTCCTCCCAGTGATCCAGTGTTAGCAGGATCTTCTATAGTTACATGCTGGTAGTATTCACAGGACCATAAAAATGTAGTGCCATTGGAAGAAGAAAATGCTTGACTTCTTGAAATGAATAAAATATTAATGTGCAATGCTTTAAACTTGTCTGGGAGTAGCACATCTGAAATTCATATTGTGTTAAAAAGATACTTTCACCATCTAGGCTACAAAATACTAAGAGAATCACAGCTGGCATCTTATGCCAGAAAGTTTTCACATATAACCCTTATGTCTGTCAGAAAACTCAAGCATTGTTGTTTTTATCAATTGGAATACTGGAAGTGTCAAGATGTGTATTGACCAAAGAAAGTAGCACTGACCTAACATTTTCTTTGCTTATGTGAAATGAGAACCAGCTTAGGTACAAATATAAATTAAACTAGGTACTTGAGGGACACTTAGTGATGGCATGTAAGGATACGGTGTTGTATGTGCTAAGTGGAATAGATTGGTAAGTTTTTTGTGTGTGCTATAAAGGACAACTTAACCAAAATATTGGAGCTTAAGTGTTGACATTTGAAATGGTACTGGAAGAAAATGAGTACTTTGCAGATAGCTCAACCCTGTTTGTTGCTTGCTTTAAAGTTACAGCATCTTTTCTGGTTTCCCTGGAGGGAGAAGGGGTTGTGAAATTCCCTCAGTTTTACAAGTATTGTCTGGGTCTTCACCTAGGGAAGTTATCTGCAAGATTTACTGCAATGACTGGAGAATTGGTGGTAGATGATGCAAGATTAATATTAAAAAATCTTATAATTTTAGATTTATAGAGCAACTGAATCTGTCACTGGAAAGTAAAGAAGCTATTATTCAACACCTTGAAGAGGAAAAGTCTCAGAGTGGATCTTATGATGGGAACTTATCAGCAGAAAAAATCAGAGAACTTACCATTGCTTTGAGGCATGAAAAAGATAGGGAGATAGAGGTGAGGAAACTGACGGAACAGTTCTATGTTATAAATCTCACATGGTGTAGGATTTTAAAGGTTTTGTGCATGACAGCATGTGAGTGACTTAAGCCAACTTTTGAAAATATTGTTCTCCACAATTATTCCCTCCATCCCTTCTCTGTTTCCTTAACATTCATTGGTTATATTGTGGTTTGGTGGTCAATATGCAATTGCTTACCATTCATTCAATGAGAGGTCATGTTTCCCATTGACTTTATGCCTGTATTATACTGTGCAATTGCTTTACAGACATATATATAAAAAATGCTAGATGTTAATAGATCCCTGGATAGATGACATAACTTCTATAGAATTTAAGAATGTGACTTGAGGGTTTATTTTTGGGAAGTATCTCTACATACCTAGAGTATCTCTACTGTTACGGTCTGGGAAAAAAGCTGTGGTAAGGGAGGTAGGCATAAAAAAAATCTTATGAAATAAAGTGAAAGTCTAGGCTTTAGCTTACAAAAGGTGCTAAGAGTCAGTCTTTTATTTCACTTGGCTTTTAAACAGGAAGACATATCCTGAAAGCTGAAATGTAGAAACAGGTCTTAAGGCTTGTTGTCTTTTTTTTTCTTTCTTTTTTTTTTTTTTTTAAATCCCTGTTGGTTATTCAAACAATAAATTAAAGCTGGCAGGATTAAGAGAGTAATCATGGAGGCTGTCATGCTTCTGAGAAACTTTCTTCCCTTTTGTTTTGGAAGTTAACATTGATCAGTACCTACACACTTTCTTTTGTTTATGTCAAGAATAGACAAGAGAACCTTCTACGATTGGTCTGATTAGTGGAATTAAAAGTTTTCAGTTCTGGGTCTTCATGCAATTAAATCTATATGTGTCAGGAAAAACTAGTCTGGTTTCACAAGAGTATTTGTGTGTCAAGGTGAAAACAGGGTCATCTTTAATCATTTCATGGGAGGTGGACAGACTGTGATCATTTTGGGATGCAGTATTGTAGAAAAAAATCTGATTAATACTTTTGCACAATCCTGTTTTTATGTATGATGACTTTTCGGAAAAAAAAATATTCTGTAACCTCTCCAAGGAAAAGTGCTAATTAAAATCTCCCTTGATAAAAGCATCTTGCCGACATAGATAAATGTCACATAAAAATGCATTTTTATTAACTCAGCAAGTACAGTTGTCCTGTCTAATGGAAGAACATGTTGTGTGGTTTTTCGTTTTTTTCCTTCTTAATTTGGACAGGCTCATACTGTGCCCAGGTAGATTTGTAGACTTCCAGGAAGCAACTGATTCAATATATTCCTGCCAAAAGGCATATACTAAGTTTTGTGGTTCCCCTCCCCCACCAAGGTTTTTAAGCTCATTTTGCTTCATTTTAGTGCTTAATGAGTTACATTTGTGTTTAGAATGAATTTGCTTGACGGCGACAACTGTTCTGTTCTTATAGGCTATTAGAATGGAGCTTAAAAATGAGAGAAATTCCTTTGAAAAAAAAATTCAGGTAAGTTCTAGTTTTGTTTCTTTTTCCTTGACCACTTACAATGCATGTTGGGATCTCTTCTGTTATGCATTCACAGATACAGAGAGGCCTTGACTCGAAAGGAAGCAAAGCAAATCCTCCGGTAAATTCTCTTTTGTGTTAGATGACAGGAAGGCTCACCTTGTTTTTGAAGCAATTTTCAGTAAAGCTCATAGGCGTGGTCATCAAATATTGAAGCTGATACTCATGGCCAGCCCACAAGATTAGGCTGCTTATACTATATTCCAGGCACATCTTTAAGATGATTACTCTCATTTTGGGACTATATTTTATGTTAGTAATCTGAGTAATAAGATATAAGAACTCTGAGAGAATGTACTTATTAATGTGCAGTTACAGTATCTCTTAGTGGGAAGTTAATGCAACTTTCACATAATCTAATTTAGTTACTTCAAGAAGAGCTACAAGAGAGAGAAAATGAGCTTGCTGTTGAAAAGAAGAATGGTTTGAAAAGGGATAAAACCATTCAAGGGCTAACTGTTGCATTAAAAGCAAAGGAAAAAGAGGTATGATGGTTATGGTCTTACTGGTTTGTAGAATTATCACTGGGAGAGGAGTGTGTGCGTTGTGTATATGGTAGCGGTTGACCATCTCACTGTAACCATTAGAAGACTTCTAGTGGGTCCTTAGTCGCCGCTGCCATATCTGTAAGCAGTTGTGTTTATCTAGAGTTTTGGGTCTTGGACTGGAGGAGGGAGGAAAGATACTTAACTGATACTTTTTCCCCTAAGAACTTTGAGAAAAAATGTTTTCAGTTGCATGCTGATTTTTAGCAGCTCTGAGCACCACTTAAAAGGTATGAGAAGTATGTTATGTTGTTGAGTAAGTGGAGCTGTCATAAAGACAGCTATAATAGGAGAGCTCAATGTCACCTGAAATTCAGATTTTGTGGAAGAATGGGAAATATTTAACTTGAGTGATAGGCAGTCTAGTGAGTGGTGTATAAGAACAAGAACTTCTTTATACAAGATTTATTGTGATGTATTTGGTGGTGTGGTTCTTTAAAGTATTTGTTTTGTGTAGTTGGATGAATGGATAATGAGATGGGATAGCTATTAGTGAATCACCATCCCTTGAAAATAACTCTTTCTACATAGTATTCATTTTACTTTACTTAAAGAATGAGGAGCTTTGTTCTGAAATTGAAGATCTAAATGCTTCGTTGGCTAAGGCAAGAGAGGCAACTCACAAAGCACACATCCAAAAATTCAAGGTAAGAAGCAAGCAATTAATGTGGCTTCCCCCATCCCTGCTGCTCCCTTCTCCATAGTTCTACACAGCAGGTAGTGATTTGTATCTTTGAAAGCAGAGGAATGGAAATTATTTTAAAATGTTGTTTAAAAAGTTTAATTTTTCTTACTTTGGAAAAAATGTCTCAAATAAAACTATTTAAATGATAGAGCATTAAAATGTCAGATTACTTGTTTCTTCTTCTATAGCAACTGAGAATTATTAAGGGACAAATGTGTAAAAGCAAAATGAGTTAAATAAAGACACAAATAGTTGTGGAGTGGAGATGATATTGAGCTTTCTTTGTTGACCTAAGAATGCTTTGGTTGTTCTTCCAAAAGTATGGTAACAGCATACTGTTCCTGTTAGCAGAGTTGAACTAGGTATGAGACACTTGTTTAGATTTATTGATAGAATAAATGTGAAACCACTGTTTATAAAATAGTGGAGTGTTTTTTGTGAAAATGTGATTTAGTAATGCTTTTGTGTGTGTGGAGGAGAAAGGACTTTATGATGATAACTTACGCATTATAAAGGTCTTAAAGTGTAAAATGGGAGAAAGTAAGAGTTTGATATTAAAATAGGCCACATAATGTCTCTTGTAATGTTTTCCAACTCATCTAAAACTAAGTCTGATAAAACTAACTAATACTGACTAGAGGCAGTGATGAATCTTCCATTATGATGTTTGTTCATCCACTTGGTCTCTCACCTCAGCAGTAACGGAAGAGGTTGATATGCTTGCCTCTGCAGTACACACACCTAAAGCTTTTGTGACTGACTGTACTGTTTTTTGATTTCAGAGTCTAATGGAGCAATAATGTTTAGCTCTCATAGAGCACCTCAATTTCTTCAAAAGCCATTTATTTCACTTAAGCCTGAATTTTAAATGTGCTCTGTTGAGAAAAGTAGATCCTATTTCTTCTTCAGGTCATTTTGGTCTGTGTGTGAATCTATAGCTTACGTTTGCTTCTTCAGACCATGGAAGTCCTGCTTTGAAATATTAACTCTAATTTTAACCCTTTCATTTTTGAGAGCTTGATTATTTTTGAGAGGTTCTAGGCTTAAAAAGTGTACAACTAAACCCTCCTGTCCACAGAATCCATATTGCACGGTGGGTGACAGAGCAAGCCTTTCTTCTCATTACTCTGCTACTTAGCTACAAACTTGAGTTGAAGGCAGTTCTCTGTGAGTAGCCCACTACTCCTGTCATCTGTGTTGTGAACTTCAAGGAGGCCAGTTGTAACAGTATGTGATGGGGAGGAACACAAATCAGACTCGCTATTTCATATTAAAAATATGCTTATGACTTGGTAACTACATGACCTAGTCTGGATTCAAACTGACCCAAAAGCAGAAAGCCTTATGTAATAAGAGCTTTGGGAACCAATAATAATAATATGGTCTCATTTGCACTATGGACTCCTTTGCAGGTCAACCTTTATCTAATTCTTAGTTATCTAAGACTTTGTTATCCTGTGCTGGATGTCATTGAAAGCTGTGTTACATTAGCTGAGAAAACTTTGTGTAGCATTTCCCTGTTGTGTGAGTAACTGTCACTTCACTGTATTTTTGCACCATAATTTTGAAGTACTGGAAAGAGGTGCGGGGGAGTGGTTTTGAATGCAACAGGAGTAAAGACTTCCAGTCTCTCCAAAATACCCTTATAGAACTTGAATGCTGCATTATGTTTCAGGGTGCTGAGGATTATCAAGCTCTCTTGATGGAAAAAGAGACCCTCTTAGCAGAGCTGCGTTCAGAAAACCTTACAAAGGATGCTGAGAATCGTAAACTACAAAGGAGGATTAAAAGGACCGATCAAGAGCTAAATGATTTGAATTTAGAAAGAGAGAAAATGGAGAAGGAGCTGGATGAAGCACAACTACAGAAGAGCAGAAGTGACAAAACCATTAATGTTATTATCACTTTTTTCCTTTATTTCATAAAGTTTAAAAATAATTTAGCATTTCTAGCATGTCCTTTTCTAAGACTTAGTTTTTTAATTCGAATACTTTTTGGAAAGGTAAATGCATTTGCCTAAAACCAGTGTTCAAAAGAATGTGGGCAAGAAGACTGAGGAAAATTCAGGCACATAGTCTGCACAGGAAAGTATTTTAAAATAAAAATTGTCTTGACAGTCTTGGTTAGGTCCTAGAAAATATCATTAGCCTGTATAAGTGGTAAGTGGTTACTATTGGTTTCAGTTTTTCTGATGGGAGAGTCTGAACATGTACGACAATGTACTTTTTATATTGCTGCTGTACTTGTCTTATTACATGTCTATACATTATCTTAAATTATACTACATAAATTAAATTTTCTTCTAAGTTCTAATGCAGAACAGGAGTAAGTAGCCAGTTGTTGTAACCTTAAGCCTAACTTCAGCTTTCTTTTTGCTATCATAGCAGGGTCACTGTAAAGACTGTGTATTATAATTTTTGTTTGTAAAATTCCCAAAGCACAGGATTAGTTGATCACAATTTAACAAAAAAATGATGTGCTGTATCTGTTCATTAATTTTACTTGCTTATATTCTGTTTAGGGTTTTTTACCTTGCTGTAGGCTTTTAGATAAGCACTTCTGCTTCTAACACGCACAGCTCATGCAACAAAGTGAATGATCAGGTTTCTTCTTTTCTTGCTTTGAAAACAAGGATGCACCTTCTGCTGAGTGTTTGACATAAAACATACTTCTCACCTGTATGTCTTGTCACATGGATTTTTCTAAAGTCTTCTCACCTAGAGTCCTGCCTGCATGCAGTCTGGTCCTCTTCAGTTAGGGATTAGTCTCCTGCTATATTAAATTATGTAAAAGATTTAAAAGAGCTTGTATATATTCAGGGGATATTTTGGTTCAATTATTTAGTAAGGACCTTAATAAAGCAGGTACCTGTGGAAATTGCTGTCCCTGCAATATCACTTAAACCCAGTAGAGGGATCTCTTTACCCACAAACAAATAAGTTCTTCTCCCCT